TGGAGTGGAATTGAATGAGAAAATAAAAAAATGTCATGCAGAGGGAGACACTGTGGCGTGAGGGAAACCAAAAAACTAGAAATGCATCAGAGAGAAGGCAAGAGGAAGATGGTGAAAGACTGGGAGAGGTGAAAAAAGGAAATGGAAGGAGGGAAATGAATTGAGAGTGGACGGAGATAAGGGAAGAGAACAAAATTATTTCAGGAGACCAAAACTAAATTGAAAATTAGAAAACGCAAACACGAGTAGACAAGGATAGGGGAGGGAGGAAAGAAAAATGGAATCCCTCCAAAATGGGGAGAATGTGGGTAGACAGGATGAAAAGAGGACATAGGAGGCTGAGAGGAATGTGGTTGGAGAGGAGAGGAAAACAGTTAAATGGGTATGGTTACTGAACAGTGGAGAGACGGGGATGACTTTATTACCTAGAAAATACAGTGGTGCAGGAACATCTTTCATAAGGAATAGAATGTCCATCATAATTACAGTGAATTGGTTTCTATTAGGTGAAGGACAAGGGGTGAGGGGGGCTGCGCAATGATATTCACTTCAAAGTATCAGCAAATGGGACATTTTCAATTTCATTTGGGGCAGCAGGGACAGATTTAGTTTCTGATAAGTTATTTTACAGGGTCTGCAACAGATAGGGTTCTCCACCGATGAATAACATTTGTACGAGTGCCTGTCTGAATAGGGTAGCCTATACACGTTTAATATGTACTACTGTACCTCATATGAAACAAAAAAAGGTACTAAACAGGGGGATCTAAATTCTATGGAAATATTTACCAGGGCATTACATTGGACAGTTCTGTTAAACATGGTTTTAATGAAGCTTGTCTGGTTTGTTCATGTTAACATATGACAATGCAAAAACAAAACATGAAATATTTAGTAGTGATAAAAGACAACACAGAATAGTAGCCTACCATCAAGTAGAACAGTAAATAAAATGGTAAACAGTGAAAGAATGGAAAGTAAACGCAAACATGGTAAGCTTCAGCCCCAGCAGGAGAGACGGAATATGAAGAGAGGCAAGCGTGAAGAGGCATGAATTCAGGAATTTAGTAGGTGGGTGTACAGCATTATTTCAAATCCTTACTTTCCATTCCATTGGCCATGAACCGCTATTCAATGGTTGAAGAAAACGCGAACTCAATCAGTATAGAAGACTGTAAATTGCTCTTTAAATTCTCTATATAAAAATAAATCACAGGAGGCTGCTGATGGGAGGACAGCTCATAATAAAATGTCTGGAACGGCATCAAACACATGGAAACCATGTGTTTGATGTATTTGACACCATTCCATATGTTTCCGCTCCAACCATTACCAAGAGCCCGTCCTCTCCAATTAAAGGTGCTATCAACCTCCTGTGCTATAAATACAAATTATTCAATTCTCCCCCCCTCACCTTCAGCTTTCATTAATGCTGTATAAACTTAGCCGTGGACTGATTCAATTCCTCCTCACCCTACCTTCCAACCTTCACCACAATAGTCACTGCCCACACTGGGTTGGAAGGCCACTAATGGCAACTGAGAAAGCAGGGACAAGAAACATCCATCTCCTCGCTTAGTGACAGTATCAATATTGCAGTAAAAACAGCCAAACAAACTCAAGGAGGACATGACATTTTCAAATCCATAAATGTTCAAACACACCCATTTCTAATATCACTCCAGTGCAGTAGTTTGATGTCAGCTGTTCCCACATTTTTGAGTGGGGAACAGAGGCAGTAGAACAATAAAGAGACAGACAGTACAACGGGATATGTGAAACTCCTCTGGGAGTATTGAACAGGGCTGAGATTTGCAGTCCAGACTTCTGCAGTCTTGAGCTACCTTCTCGATCTAACGCCAGGTCGCTATGTCATTAAAGCCAGCATGGCTATACTTTGGTTACAAGTGAGAGATTGCCCAACTAACCACAGGGAAGAGAAACACCGCGCAAGATTCAAGTGTTTCAAAAGGGTAATCTTCCTGGGTTGACAAACAAACAAAAAAAATGGGGGGGGGGGGCGGACTATCTACTTGAGCACAGAAAATACTCACTCACTTTGTGAACCTTTAAACAAACAATTCTGCTATTCCAAGAATTCAATGAGGTAATCATTTGAAAAGTTAGAAACCTGTCTACGGACAAGGATTGTCTGGGGGTCATTCAGGGGTCATTTCTGAATTTAAAAACATGAATAAAATGTGTCAGTATAAGTTAGTCTGAGCAGAAGTCATCAGAACAATGATATAGAATGGTTTCCTGGAAACTGCCCTGCTCAGTACAGTGGCTCAAGTATTCATCCCCCTAATGGATGAAGAGAACAGGACAGGTACTAATACATATTCAGCAGTGTAGGGAGCTGGCGACGTCTCACTGTGCTGAGTGTGGGGTGTGGCTGGGATGGGACACAGTCCTAAATTAACTGCTTACGTAAAACATGCATCTAAATGAATAAATGAAGCATATGACTCATCCTAGTCTAGTCAGTCCACAATACATGAAAATAGTAATATTCTTTATTCAACGGTGGGTCACTTAATGTGGAAACTAGTCTGCAGACCACATCAGTTCCTGGCACAAAACCGTAAGCGAGCAATAACCAGACTACCCTATAAGACAGATCACACCGTCAGAGAGCCTGGAAAGCCAGCCACCAACAAACATACTTTGCATGTTTATAGAATGTCTGCAAGTTCTCGTTCCCTGCTTGGAATTCACAAGTATATGTTCCATTCTACGACATCTCGCCTTGGGAATATCTGGGCACTTTCACAAATTATGGTTTTGTTAACATGGAGGCAACACAGGGTTTAATACAGAATACTAATGTAATGGTCGGCTTTGCATTTATTCCCAGGGCCATCTGAAAACCCCAGAAAAACAATTGGCACCACTCGCGCAAAGATTTGCTGTTAGAGCTGTGAAAGCCAACAAAACATGGAAGTCTTCATGGACCAATTCAGAAAAACTCTTACTAAACGTGTACAACCTAGACTTTTGTTTAGTATTCTCAGATGCAAGCTGAATTTAGATAATGGCTGATGGCTAATCAGATATATAACGGGAGATTATTGGTGCCCCCCAGCACCTCATCAGTAGAATGGGAAGCTCCCATTCCAAACAGACTGGAATTTATCAGCTCAACATTCATCATGGTAATTATGTTGTTCAGGACAATAATGATCACAATAATGATGCTGGTCAATTTCTTGGCATAGTGATACTGAACATTTCCTTGGGAGATAGATTTACCTCTGCCTACTTTAAAACAGTCTATCGTTTTCATTTACTACCTGCCCAGTTAGTGAACAGAATAACAAAAACATCTTGACTGATGTCAAAATAATTCAAAGAAACCGTTGACAACCTAACAAAGTAAACTGATCCAATGGCAGTGATTTCCTATTGAACCGATGACAAGTATTAATGCTTATTTTCCCTGCCTATTAAATGATGGTATGCCTACTCTCCCTGCATATCTGATTTCCATCAATTATGAGTTACATCCTCATTTCTCATTGGGTCTTCAAATTAGCTTCTGAAGAAGAAACACAGGAGGGAAGAGTCCAGAGCTAAACCTGCACCCCTCCCTCTTCCCAGTCTTTACTAGATGTCACATTCACAAGTCGCTTACAAGTGGGGGGTTTTTTCCATTATTTTTTGCACAAACATTCTCCTTCTCTCGTAATGTCTGGGAAAGCAGATAAAAGTCGACACTGAGTTGCAGAGACTGGAGAGAGCTCAAAGCCAGCCCTCATCCAGACAAACCCGGAGGAGAGGAGAGAGGACAGAAGAGAAGAGGAGCAGGTAGGAAGGAAAACCTGTCTGTAGTGTGTACCTCATCTACCATCCTGTCCCTGGCCAACACTGAAACATTCACACTGCATTTCACCCATCTGGCTCCACTCTACATCTATTGAGTCCACTACATGCCCATCCATAATGCATCAATTCGTCCATATTTATGCTCTACCCATCCCCTGCTGCATCTCTCAAGGACAATAACTATGGCTACATTACATTGCCTTTCAATTAGAGGTAAGGAAGGCAAAGGTTCAAACTGCATTTCAAACTACTCTCTCACTCAATCTTCCTCCATACAGACAGTTCCAAATCCCACAGGGTGTGTTGAGAAAGTTTAAAACTTTCATGACTTCAAAGACTATGACTTTGATACATTCTTAACTCTCAGAACTGTGGAATGAGAACTTCATATCACTTTCTCCGCACCTTGATGCAGAACATGTTTACACAGACTGCCTACACTTGATTTCATAGTCCTCTGTAGCCTAGTTGGTAGAGCATGGCGCTTGCAACACCAGGATAGTGGGTTCGATTCCCGGGACCACCCGTACGTAAAATGTATGCACGTGTGACTAAGTTGCTTTGGATAAAAGTATCTTCTAAATGGCATATTATTTATTATATTATGAAGAATTGCATTCTCGTGGAAGGAAAAACCATCAAGCGTTCTCAATTTTCTGAGGAAAGAGCTAATAATTTGCGAATCGTCTCAGGAATTAAGGGCACGTGGTTAGCAAATACCAAAATATAGTTTTGGAGTGGTATTTTCGTTTAAGCGTGGCAATTTACTGGATATGTGCTCAGATATATCCCTGAGGGCAGTCAGAGCAGATCTGAGGCTGAACTCTTAATGCATTAAGAAAAAACCCAGCTCCTCAGTGTGAATCTGAGAGACCAGGGAGACGACCAGACTAGACAGACAATCTACAGCTGGAGCCGACGGGTATTTTGGGCTGATTCAAGGCCTACGTGTCAAACAACCGGGGGATATCAATATTTGTTCAATTATTTATTTCAAAACGCAACTCATCCCCAACAATCATTCAGAGCAGAGAAGGCTCCTGTGGGAACAGGGTCGGTGTGCCCAGTCTACAGCATCAACTAAATAAACACTCATACAGAAAACACAGAACCCTAAAATGGACATGCATAAGTAGGGCTAGGAGTTTTTTTTTTTTTTCTGTGAAATAGTTCTGTCAGGGCTCATGGTCAGGAAAACCTTCTGGCCCTACATGGAGGGAGAGACTACGCCTCATTATAACTGAGTGGCAGTAGCCTGCAGGGAGGTGGGGGGGGGGGCTGTTGCTTACCTCAAGCCGTCCAGTGTCAGGCTGGAAGCCACGGGCAGGGTCCTCTGTGGTCACACGGCATTGGATGGCGAAGCCATTGATCCGGATATTATCCTGCTTCAGGCCCAGCTCTGGCAGGCTACGCCCCTCACACACACGCAGCTGAGCATGAACCAGGTCCACACTGACAGGAAGAGGATGGGGAGAGTAGAAAGAGAGAATTTTGCTGTCTGAATTGACAAGGAAAACACAAGAAAATGCACTCTGTGTTGTCCATAAAGTTCCCACTCTGGCATGTTTACAGTTAGGAGTTACTAGTTTAGAATCTGGTTTTTATCATCTCGATGCCTCGCACTATCCCCATGACAACTTCAGATACCTTGTGTGAAATTCCCCTACATGATACACAGGCAGTGTGGTGACATTCACAACTGATGTGAAGATGGTAGTTCACACTGCAATACCTTTCCCATTTTAAAATGTGCTGTTGGGTTCATGACACGCCTTCAGTGCACTTGAAAAAGAAACCTGAGAGAAGGGGAGGGAAGGGGGGGGTCTTCAGTTCAGAGGGGAACAGAGCGCAGAAAAGGTCTTCAGGGTAAGGAAAGATAACTGACATCAGCTCTATTGTGACCCCAGCCAACAATCCAGAGGAAAGTGGAACTAGTTTCTGTTCAGTCATGGATGGAGAGGAATATAAATCTGATGCATCACGATCCTATGAGAGCAAAAACTAAAAACTTGAGAAAACACCAATAGGGTTTGGTTAACTTTTACAGAAATGTGTCCATTTAGCAATTCTAATTACAAAAAAGGTTGGTAAAAAAAAACTATTTAATGGTAATTCAAATTCAGAGCTCCACACGATATGAGGGAATGTTTTTGTAATTGCTCCTAGGCAAATCTCAACAAATCCAAGTCAATGACCACTTTTTTCTACCGCTCATTGAATGACTAAAATGTATGTGTGCATGTCTGTGCCTCGAGGCTGAGGGAACACCTTTTCTTACCAATAAGAGGAAGGGACAGAGTTGTACTTGCATTAATGTTAAACATCAATAATTATAAGGAACAAAGCGTCTGGGAAGGAGCTTTTTGTTGCATCAATGGATTGAAACATTTTGGCTGGTGGTAACAAATACTTTATGAACACAAACACACAGGCAAAATGTTTTGATATAAGACATGACAAACATCTTCTAAACTGACAGAAACAATTGCAGAATCAACTGGAAAGGCTGAGAATAACTGACAATGATTTTATACTTCTATCACTTAATTTATACCATTATTTCTCCACTTTCTCCTGCCTCCTTTATACTCCACCTCCTCCCTCTGCAGAGAACTGTCAACCACTTTGAAAAAAAGGTTGACGACATCCGTTCCTCATTCCCTCAGGCTACTGAGCCCAATCTCACAAAACGACCTACGACTTGACCTCTTTCGATTGTTAATGTTCGATCCAAAACAGGATTGCTCGTCACCAAACAATACATTTGATGTAGAAAAGGAACTTAGAAAAGCCCTTTAAATGTATTTTTCTACAAGCAGGGTCAAACTAAAGTGTTCATTGTAAGAAAATTGCATATAACATTTTATCATTTAGTGGCTGGAACATTACATATTTCATATAATAGCTGACATTCTTGTAGCTGTGTTCACAAAATGTGTGCCCATTCAAACATCTTATTTTAAGAGGATACTTTAATTTCATGTAGTAGTAAGTGTCTGGGGGGTGAGGGGAAAAAAGCAGCTTCTGCCTCTTCATATTTTTCTTCTTGACTTGTTTTTTCATTTGGTATTCACACTGACTAAGACACAGTGTGTTAGCGATACCAAGGTCTCAGTACGACATTCAAACAAATAGAGGCAGTAATCCCTTTCAACTGTAGCAATGGGTCGTTTTAAATATCATATGTTAACCAATGTTGAACATTTTGCTGTATTGGATTAACCCAACTGTTCTCCCCACTTTCTCTACCTCCAAGACAATGGGTCGTAAAAATGGCCCTTCACACCTAGGTGTGATACCATGTGACCTCACAGGACTAGAAAAGCTCTCCCCCTCTCCCAATTAAATTCAAAGGGACTTTTTACATTGCCAAAGCAAGTGAAATAAACAAAACAAAAAAGTGAGAAGACAAAATCAACAAAAAAGTATTAGATTTTGACAGTAAATATTGCTCTCAAAAAGGTTTCAAAAACAGACATCAAGTGTTATATTATTAGCTATGTACAGTGTTTTAGAAATGTGCAAATAGTTGTTGTACGCATAGTAGGAGAAGATAAACAAATATTGGTGATATTTACAATATTGTTCGCGCTCCACTGGCTGCCCTTTTCTCATAGCAACGGGCCACAAATCTTGATGCTGTGATTGCACTGTTGGATTCTAGCTTGAAATACACTTGTTCATGTTCCCATACTAGAACTTACTGATTACGTTACATGTATAAGGAATGTATATGTTAGGAGTCAAGGAAGGGTAAAGAGGAACTAGGTGTGTGGAAAGTTACTGAGTGAGAAAAGGGGACATGCAGAAAGTTCATATTTTGTTCAAATATATGTTATTGTTGAATATGAACGTTCCTAAGGAGGGAGGCAAAAGGGCAACAGTCTAGTTTCAGTTCTTGAAATGGCAGACCAGTTGCTGAGGAACCAGGACCACGAGGGATGTGGAACTCAACTTGAGATAAGGTCAACAGTTGAAGAGAGAAGACACAGCAGTGAGGGGGGCCACAGGGTAACACCCCGAAGACCATCTGATTACTGTCCTCTCACACACACACATACACTTCCACGCCAATGCTGGTCCCAGACTTAGGCAGGGCCATGAATATAAGAGGAACCTACTGTGTCTCTGCCTAACAGAGGAGTGTGCATCTTAGACATGCAAGGAGATGACCCCGCCTAGTTGGACAGCATAAAAATGTGCTTGTGTGACATGTATATCTTTCTAGCTGTATTACCCAGTGAGTGAATAAACTTGGTTTGAGCTTTTTTTAGTCTTCCGTTTGAGTTTTGACTGTTTATTCAGAACACTGCAGTATTTTGCCTAACATATATGGGAGTTAATCAATGTTTGATTTGTTTTCAAATTCTTTGTGGGTCTGTGTGATCTGTGGGAAATATTCATCTCTACTGTAGTCATACATTTGGCAGGAGTTTAGGAAGTGAAGCTCAGTTTCTCTCCCTCTCCAACTCAATTCTTCTCCTGGACCTGCTGCTCTGTCTCTGCCCTGCTCTGGGCCCAGCAGCTCAGCTACTTCTCAAAAGGAGGCAAAGAACCTCCATCTTAGCAGACCTACCAAGGGGCCTTCGCTTTTCATGGCAAGAACTAGTAACTGATAAGTTAGGGAAAGTACCTTTTAGGGAAAGAGTACGCCTCTACCTGCAATTTAGTAAATTTCTAATTGGGGCTGAAGAACCCAAGTACAAGCAGTCTCAGTAAAGACGTAAAAGAGCAAGCATCGCCTGAACGGTACACTTAAGCTAACCTTCTTCAAAAAGGAGAAGACACTTCAGAGCACAGCCTCTGCAACTCAAGAAAGGGTCAAAAGACAAAGCAACCAGGAACACAATCCAAGGAGAACGCCAAAAGCATAACAATTTCGGACCAAAGGACACACGGCCACTTTGATCAGACTAAATATGACATAATATAATGTTCAGAATGTCAAGATCTTTACTTCTTGTCTTTCATTCTATTTCATCATCATTATGTTTTGTACATATATCATTAAAATGATGGTCTAAAATAATTGCGTTGTTATTCCAGTAAAGCGCTCCAATTGAGTTATTACTAAAATAATTGATAAGTCAGGTCTTCTCCGAAGACACATTTAGTCCAATAAAGGACTGGTGCCCAGATTTCATTATTTATAGTAATAATGACACACGTCAGACATACTGTAAACAGATGAGCCATGCTTTTTTCTATCCTTCTCTTATCTAACTCCTACATCCAGAGAGCACTAGACTGAAACAGCCCCAAACTGTATTGGGGTGTAGGAAGAAAGAAGAGGTGGAAAATACCAAGAAAATAAAGAGGACAGGGGGGCAGAGGAGACTGCATTGCACAAAATCAAAGATGTGATATGAGCTGGAAGCAGAGGGAGTGAAGGAGGGGGAGACAGATGAGGGGGGATTAATATATTCAGTCTGATTTCCTATTCCACTTTAATTGCTGATGCCAGGCAGTGTATGTGGCGCTGGTGTGGAGGAAGATTCTGCCCCTTTCCCTCCTAATAAACCAAAATCCTTCCACTGAAAGGCTATTCTCTTTACCCCATTTTTATATGAATAAGATCCAGGTCTGTGAACCAGCCTCCGAACACACCAATCCGTTGACAAGCTTTCCTCATCCTTGTGTGCCAGTTTAGTAGTCTTCCCTCGCCTCCCGTCTCCCATTCCTAATTTCTGGCAGAATAGACAAACAAACGTGCAGCTGCAATCTAGCCACAACTCAGTGATTAGAAACCCATTACAGGGTCAGTGACAGACAGCCTACACTGAGCTATAAACACACACACAGAGCGAACTGAATTAAGGGAGAGGAGTGGGAAGGAGAATTGGAGTGGTGCAAATGCTGAGAGAATTGAGGTCTGCCATAAGCCTGTCTTAACTGAATTTATAGAAGGGAAAGCACAACAGCACAATGACCTCCAACCAGTGTATATGGGCTCCATACCGCAGGATACTGTTCCTAAAGCCCGTTTCAAGAGGTGGTGTTATGTCATGGTAATGTAAGAAGATATTATGAATGCACCAAAAACGATTAGATCTACGATGACTGAAATGAGAGAAATGCATTAGGCTTCATGTGAAAGGAGGAAAACTGGGATGTTATGAGACTGGAGAGGTTGCAGAGTTCAAGGAATTAACACATTACGATGTCATGGGCCATTTCCAGTGATTCCCATTACCACTCAATAGGCAGAAGGGGTCCTTAATTGGTCTTAATCACAGTGACCAATTTAAAGTCATGATACAGGCAGAGGCAGACAGCCAAAAACAGAGGTGTAGTGTAATAGCCTACTCACCGGAGCGCTAAATTCAGACCTGATAATTCAACACGTAGTCGCAGGAGAACATAGCCAGTGGCTGGGGTTATGGCATGAATGCTTCTTTGGCGAGTAAGAATCAAGTGCATTACAGTCATGTACCTATCCAGAGCCAATCACTCAGAGCAGTGCTCCAGCAGAATGCCAATTGCAGTCTGACAGTTTCCATTCAATACGACAAGATGGACATTTAGAATGAATGAACCTACATTCCTTCCACATGACTAGACAGGAATACAGAAGTCTCTGCCAGGTGCACAGAAGAAAAGTCATACATATCAATCTGTGAGAGAGTAGTGTGTATGTGCACACAACAAAGTAACACTTAAAAAAGATGCTGCATTGCTTTCATCCCTCCTGAATGATTACTTTAGCTGCATCTGATAAGTGCACAACCCATGGCTATTGTCAGTGTTTGAACTTTGAATGCATGAGACAGGTGAGATTTGGCACTTCATCATCTCTAGTCTCAAGAGTAGGAACTCCAAATGATATAGCACTGCAAGACTTTATTTGTGGACTAGGATTCTGGCTCTGAAAGTAGAACTCACAGACAATCTAGACTGATTCATATGGAAAGGAAAACTTCATAAGAACATAACGTCCTAAACTGTCTGCTATCTCAGTCCATTTACTTAAATCATTACAAAACTTCTATAGGGTTCCTTTGCTTGGTCACAGCAAAGGAACCCTATAGTCCTGGACTAGAGTCAGTTAGAAAAATGTATTGAAGTGTCACTCAACAATGATACAAAATACGATATTTCTTTTAACCACTCAAATTGACACAAAACAATCATAGTCAGACATGGTACAAGCGTCATCTATAATGCAATACATCTATACAAATGTATGCATAAACAAAACAAAATACAGTGGATAAAAATACAATTAGGCACTTCTAAAGAAAAGTCTCCATTGGAGTATAAGTTGGCAGGTTTTGGCGCAGGCATTTACATTATTGTTAGCTGAATTTATTTTCCACAATTATTTTGTCGGACAGCTGACAACAAAAAAAAATTACCCACAGTAAAGTATGAAAATGTATGCACTCAACTGTAAGTCGGTCTGGATAAGAGCATCTGCTAAATGACAGCAAAATGTAAATGTAGGCAAAGCAAGGCATGCGCATGCGCGTACATACGTTTATTAAGGGGAGTGTTTGTGTATCGACCAGTCTCAATAGCCAGATGGGCCACTCCACATCAACATTTTGCGAAAGAGCTTCACCATTGCGTGGATAAAACAGTACGTACAGGGTTCTGTCCCAAAAGTGCCTTTAAAAAAAGGCTGTAGGTGTGCAATTTGTTACTTTCAGGTTTATCAGTTGGTCCCACTTCAGTTTTGACTCAAAAGCATCACGGCCATTTCTAGAATACATTCTGCCTGTATCAGTGAGCGGAGTCATACGGATGTTACACGACTACATTGGTTTGACTGAATATCGATGACCTACATCAGTGGTTCCAAAACTGTGGGGCACACCCCCAGGGGGCCTTTTAAAGGAACTCAGTCTGGCTTTAAAAACGTACTCTTGAAAGTTATAATAGTAGAATGCGCAACGTGCAATTTGGAAATTGGGTAGTGCATCATCAGTTCCTCTTGTCATGTTAGTCATTGCATACCTTAGAGAGCTATTTGAAAGGCTGGTCATGGCTCACAACACCATCATCCCAGAAACCCTAGACCCACTCCAATTTGCATACCGCCCCAACAGATCCACAGATGACGCAATCTCTATAGCACTCAACACTGCCCTTTCCCACCTGGACAAAAGGAACAACTACGTGAGAATGCTGTTCATTGACTACAGCTCAGCGTTCAACACCATAGTGCCCTCAAAGCTCATCACTAAGCTATGGACCCCGGGACTGAACACCCCCCTCTGCAACTGGATCATGGACTTCCTGACGGGCCGCCCCCAGGTGGTAAGGGTAGGTAACAACACATCTGCCACGCTGATCCTCAACACAGGGGCCCCTCAAGGGTGCGTGCTTAGTCCCCTCCTGTACTCCCTGTTAACCCATGACTGCGTGGCCAAGCACAACTCCAACACGATCATTAAGTTTGCTGACGACAACAGTGGTAGGCCTGATCACCGACAACGATGAGACAGCCTGTAAGGAGGTGGTGGTCAGAGACCTGGCAGTGTGGTGCCAGGACAACAACCTCTCCCTCATTGTGATCACCTGTTGTATTCGGCTCATGTGAGAAATAAAATTTGATTATTTATAACTCGTCAGAAATGTCCAGATCAACTAGCCCATGTCCGCTACCGTTTTTATATTTAGTTTTTTTAGCCCATAGATATTGTTGTAATTTCTTTGTCATTCAAATATCACATGAATACACATTAGACATGGCAAATGTATAGAATTGCAAGAAAACTAGCTTTAAAGTCACACATTTCTATTTGCACCCCATGACAAAATGTGTAGAAGTGCAGGAAATAAACTTTAAACCTGCAAAATTCTCTCCACCAACAAGAGGGGTTTGAACAGTTTGTATCATGAACATTGGAGGGGGGGGGGGGGGGGGGGGGGGGGGGGGGGGGTTGCGAACCTCTGACCTACAGGATTATATGGGTTTGACGTGTTGTTTCCACCAGTGGAGGCTGCGGAGGGGATGACTGCTCATAATAATGTCTGGAACGGAGCGAATGGAACCACGTTTGATGTATCTGATACCATTCCACCTATCCGCTCCAGCCATTACCATAAACCCGTCCTCCCCAATTAAGGTGCCACCAGCCTCCTGTGCTTTCCACCTATATATTATTATTTTCAGATCAGTTGACACAATAGGGAGAAGACAACATAGAAATGAATCCCTTCAGAAGTATTGGGAACCAACCTTTATACAACCCTTCAAGCGTCTTAAAAAGACTGAGCAAAAGGACAGTCTCAAAACGTAAATGACACTCGACATGAACGGACATATAATTTGACCAGACAGGGTACAGTCTTACAGGTTGTCAGAGGTGACATGGTAATGCCAGGTAATGGCTGTGACTCACTCCGTGATCTGCTCTGTAACAGTGTGCTCCACCTGCAGGCGGGAGTTGACCTCTATGAAGTAGTGCCTTCCATGTTTATCCACCAGGAACTCCACTGTGCCAGCATTCTCATAGCCCACCTGCACACACAGACACATCCAAATGAGATACAAACCTCTAATAGGCTACTTCAAATCTACCTGAGGACATGTCAATGTCACGGTTAATAAGGCACTGTTATACAAAGGGGGGGGGGGGGGGGGGGGGTGTATTCAAATACTCCTTCTTAAAAGAGCTTTGTTGCTCACATTTAATTACTTGCTTTTTGTCCAATATAGTGTATACAGTCAGCTTTCCTTCATGGGCAGCCCTATAAATAGTAAGGTATTGGTAGAAGAAAGTATGATTGAATGTCTTGCTACATTCTCATATTCCGAATTCTATTTGAAGAGATTACAAGTTCTGTGTTCCAAAAGTTTAAATTATCTTGATAATATGCATAATGAATGAAGCACTCAGAAAGCAATTGTAAATCTGAATATTTTGAATATACAGACCACAAATAAATCTTCTAAAATGGGGAAGCGACAACAAGACTGACAGCTAATATCTACAAAAGGAAGAGAGCGTGTGATATCCCAGGCTGTGATTATAGTTATGAATGTCCGTGCTGTCTGTAAGAATGACAGCGCTACTACAGCTCAGGCAAGGAGGCAACAGGATATCATTTATCAGACCATTTCCCCCTCCACATTGCTGCGTGGGCTTGAGATTGTGCCGGCCAAAATTCACTGAAATCTGATCCAATTTATCTTTGTAATTCATCCCTCGCTCCAAAACTCATCTCTGCCAACCAGGCAGGCACCCTCTCATCCATTCACACAGTCCATGTCAAGGTGCAGGCTCACGGCCAGACAGTTTATGTCACACACTACAGAGACCCCACAAACAGACAAAAGGGACAAGTACTGTGTAAGTATTCCAATAATGTTTGGAAATAAGTGTTAGGAGAGCCACAGCAAATAGTAATATTCATTTCAGTCCAATTAAATACCCTGCTAGCAGGAGACCTGCTTGCGCCCGTATTCCACTCTAAAAGATATTCTGTGAATTTCTCAAATTTGCATAGAACAGGCTGTATTTCATAATGGTCTTTGTATACTTAAGCGGTCCCATATCTACTGCCTACTGTTAGTATTATGGCAAACTGTTAAGATATAGCAAACATAAGGAAAGGTATGGAGAAGCAGGTGTTCCTGAAAACCACAGGGTGTTGGAAGTTAAACAGTACAGCATCACTACAGAGACTGGCATGTGGATAGAGAGGTTTGATTAGAAAGGGAGGGGAACAGATGGCATTCCACAGAGGTGTAGAGGATGCAAGATGGAGGGAGGAGGAGAGGGGGTGAGGTACACAACAGCAGAGCGGAACACTGGGCTGCCATCACCAAGGATAGGTACTGTACGTGCAACCACAATAATTCAGAAACTAAAGCAATCTGCGGTGTGTAAAATATGAGTTGAGAACAAAAATGCAGGGCTTTCATTTGGAAAGAGTGTGTGTGTGTATGGGGGAGGGATGAAGCAAAATATGAAATTCAATGAGCATGTGGGCAAGAAGAACAAAGCAGTAGGAGTAGTAGGAATGCTGTGAACCCCCCTAGCTGACCTGTGTTTAAGAGGATTTGGGGTAGAGCAGCTATCACCATGGAAACCACAGACATAAAATATTTTTCCCAGCATTGGTTTCTCTCTCTCGCAGTTATTCTCGTTATATTTTGTGACCTTTTCAAAAACTACCTGTGCTAGCTTCCCTTGACCAGAGCTTTCCAAATCACTGAAACAGACTTGGAATGACAACCATTTCTGGGCTTGGAGTAAAACCACTTTTATCCACTCATTTCTCTGCTCACAATCCCATCAAAATATATGTGGAGATTTATCTTTCGATTGCACCATAGGTCAGTTAAGGCAAAACAAAACAGAATAAAGCAGAACATAAAACCTGCTGATGTTGTCCATTAAAGGGGTACGCCTGTAACAGGCCTACATCTCTTTAACCGCTATGTAGCAACACATGTACATTCAATTCAGACACAAGGGAGATAATTATAACCACACCTTGACACGTGAGTATCAATATTGTCATGTATCATTAAAGTAATAATTTATTATTTTTGTATTCTAGTGAAAATTCTCTCCCAACTCAAATCCTTAATAAGTCTACCTAAAGCATGTTTCACACTGATATTTCAGTCCACAGCTTACTCTGGAGATAAAAGGCTGGCCCACCCTCTTTTAATCAAGTAGTTCTTTGCAGTTTCCTAAAATAACTGCAGTGCAGATTATTAAAATTGGGTAATGCTTTAAATGTTAATTGATAGAATTGATTGCTCTCTGAACTGATTTCCTCTCATGAAAGACTTGGGAAGTTGCTAATCAGTAAGGTGATATTTAGTGAAGGTATAAAGGCGTCCTCATGGTTCCCAGCAGAAACAGTTCTGAAGAGTTTGTGCATATATTATGACCACATTGACGTTTTTGTTAGTTTTAGACTTCGAAAAGGTTTTTTTCAGCTGTTATGGCACAAGCATTTTTCTAGGGGCAAGGCGAAGTTCGGCCGAAGTCTACGCCCCTTCGTCGGTGATTGGTCAACAGTACGGATTCTTCAATAAAGCCTTTGTTGTCATTCATCGAGAGACTACTCGTCTTCATGCACATTTTTTCATTTAAAAAATACTGCACCAAACATCTTAGTTCGATGTAAAATTGTGCGACTCAGATCTCCTCTGCAAAAACGTCAAAATTAATGACAGATTTGAGTTATTTTAGATTAATTCTAACTATTTTGAGGAACCGATATTGTCTACGGCATCTCAAAATGGACAGTACCTATTGCCACTTTTTCTTGTTTTTAAAGCGAAGGTCTTAAGGGAGTATGCAAACACACTAGCTCCGGTTCGCCGAGTTCGGCTAGGAACCAGCCTAACTGTAGCATGCTGACGCCTTTCGGGTGAACATTATCGTCCTTAGATACAGCAGAAGAGGTCATCGACTTGACAGATGTGGGATCCATAGATAAACATAGCAGAATCACTGGACATTAAAATGTACTCTTCTCTTCATTTAGAGATAAGACTTATAAACTTATCCTCCGGCAAACTAAACTGTTTAAAAATTAAAATGGAAAAAACGTCAAATCCCTTTGACATGAAAAGCTAGACGCTAGTGGAAACCCATACTGAAGGACTTAACGCATCTGATATCCAATCAAATATTATTGGTCGCATACACATATTTAGCAGATGTTATTACGGGTGTAGCGAAATGCTTGTGCTCGTCTGGGAGCAGACTGACAGTGAACCATCACTGGCAGGGTTGTTTTTGTTAGGAGAGCAGGTTTCTAGAAGTACAAGCCAAATGTTCTCATTTCAGCTCTTCATTCCTCACTGCCATACGATTGAACAGATGGAGCTTAATTCTGTCCCTCACTCACACCCAATTTCTTTCCCCCTCTCCCCTAACACAGAGACTAATGCTAATGTACTCAACAGTGGGGGCACATTAAAATAGCTTCCTCTCCCTCAAAACACATGCACATAACAAACGTATCACACCCCTGCCTCTCTTTTCCATCCCCAAAACAGACAGCAAACAAAGCAATACAGAAGATAAGGCAGGGATAAGCACTTGCAGGACAGCTAGCTCAAGGGTACACATGACAGGCTCACCAGCTACTGTGTATACAACGTTTAATAAGCTTATCACACACAGGATGGGGAATCAGTGGGATACAACTGTCACTAGTAATTGTTCTCATGTCAAAGTAATTGCTTCCACCTCACAATAACAAACAGAAAGCCAGCTTGATTGCAATCAGGAAATTCTGCAACTGCATATTCTTTGTGTGTGGGAGTCCCACAAGCTTGCTAGTGGTGTCCCTTCCGTAACTATCGATGTTGTTAAACGCTGCCATCTAGTGTGCTTATCGGTAGCCTGCAGGTGAAACGTCATTCCCACTGCTTTAATTACGGCTCCAGTCTTTTCTTTATCCCTGTAGGTCACTTTTATTCATCTAAATGGCTCCCTTTGTCTCTCTAAATCCATTTCTTACACAACAATATTTTCATCCTACTCCCACACTTCTCCACTGCCTCTCTGAGCACAACAATAACACAGAATGAGAACACCTATTTGGAAAGGCTCAGAGTTTCTTATAAGTGACTTCAAATGCATTGTGCTTTGAAGACACTGGCTTTATTTAATGTCTACTAAAAAAACAAAATAACAAAAAACAATTCTAACCGGCCATACAGACTGGAGGGGATAAAGACAGGAACGAGGGAAAGGAAATTCTACACTATGAGCGGAGACGTTTGAATAAAAGGAAAAGAACAAAGAAGTTGAGTTTCTCACCCGTAATTTTTCATGCCTACGGTGTTAGAAGTATTGTTGCAAAGTAAAACCACACTCCATTCAGACAATAATGGTCTTATATGCCATTAAAAAATGCAAATACACACAGCTCTGTCATTTCAAAGGCAATAATGCCAAGATTCTAAACATTCTAAAAAAAAGTACTGAATTCATCTAAATGCCTATGGAATATACGTTTTAGCTAGACACTACCTATTAAAAGAATGCTTCAAAGTGTATGGGTGTGTTGCATCCTGTACCTGTCTGGCCAGGTTGACAGAATCAGCAGTGAGTCGGTCCCGGAGGTGGGGGTCCAGCTGTACAGCCGGGGCGATCTCCACCACCTTCTGGTGCCTCCTCTGGATGGAGCAGTCCCTCTCATACAGGTGGATAACATTACCATACTTGTCACCTGGGAGAGACAGGAATGTCATTAGGTCTTACAGGCATAAATAACTTGTAGACCTAAGTATCTGTACTGGTGTGCGTGTGTGTGTGTGTGTGTGTGTGTGTGTGTGTGTACACACACAGTGCATTCGGAAAGTATTCTGACCCATTCACTTTTTCCACAATTTGTTACGTTACAGCCTTATTCTAAAATGGATTAAATTATTTATTTTTTCCTCAATCTACACACAATACCCCATAATGACAAAGCAAAAACAGGTTTAGAAATTGTCAGACCCTTTGCTATGAGACTCGAAATTGAGCTCAGGTGCATCCTGTTTCCATTGATCATCCTTGAGATGTTTCTACAACTTCATTGAGTCCACGTGTGGTAATTTAAATTGATTGGATATGATTTGGAAAGGCACACACCTGTCTATATAAAAAGGTCCCACAGTTGGCAGTGCATGTCAGAGCGAAAACCAAGCCATGAGGTCGAAGGAATTGTCCATAGAGCTCCGAGACAGGATTGTGTCGAGGCACAGATCTGGGGAAGGGTACCAAAACATTTCTGCAGCATTGAAGGTCCCCAAGAACACAGTGGCCTCCATCATTCTTAAATGGAAGAATTTTGGAACCGCCAAGACTCTTCCTAGATCTGGCCGCTCGGCCAAACTGAGCAATCGGGGGAGAAGGGCCTTGGTCAGGGAGGTGACCAAGAACCCAATGGTTACTCTCACAGAGCTCCAGAGTACCTCTGTGGAGATGGGAGAACCTTCCAGAAGGACAACCATCTTTGCAGCACTCCACCAATCAGGCCTTTATGGTAAGAGTGGCCAGACGGAAGCCACTCCTTAATTAAAAAAAACACGACAGCCCGCTTGGAGTTTGCCAAAAGGCACCTAAAGACTCTCAGACCATGAGAAACAAGATTCTCTGGTCTGATGAAACCAAGATTGAACTCTTTGGCTTGAAAGCCAAGTGTCACGTCTGGAGGAAACCTGGCACAATCCCTTTGGTGAAACAATGGTGGCAGCGTCACGCTGTGGGAATGTTTTTCAGTGACAGGGACTGGGAGACTAGTCAGGATTGAGGGAAAGATGAACGGAGCAAAGTACAGAGAGATCCTTGATGAAAACCTGCTCCAGAGCGCTCAGGACCTCAGACTGGGGAGAAGGTTCACCTTCCCACAGGACAACGACCCTATGCACACAGCCAAGACAACGCAGGAGTGGCTTCGGGGACAAGTCTCTGAATGTCCTTGAGTGGCCCAGACAGAGCCCGGACTTGAACCCGATCTAACATCACTGGAAAAACCTGAAAATAGCTGTGCGGCGATGCTCCCCATCGAACCTGACAGAGCTTGAGAGGATCTGCAGAGAGGAATGGGAGAAACTCCCCAAATACAGGTGTGCCAAGCTTGTAGCGTCATACCCAAGAAGACTCAAGGCTGTAATCGCTGACAAAGGTGATTCAACAAAATACTGATTAAAGGGTCTGAATACTTATGTAAATGTAATATTTCTGGGGGGGGGGGGGGGGGGTTAATATACATTTGCTAACATTTCTAAAAACCTGTTTTTGCTTTGTCATTATGGGATATTGTGTGTAGATAGAAACTGTTTAATCAATTTTAGAATAAGGCTGTAACGTAACAAAATGTGGAAAAAGTCAAGGGGTCAGAATACTTTCCGAAAGCACTGTATATTGGTGGATGCTGCTGGGGAATGAAAATGGAAATGAAATACAAGTTGCTGAGGTGGAAATCATTAAGTTGAAACTTTAGCGGGAAGAATTTTCTGCATTTACAGTACCAGTCAAAAGTTTGGACACACCTACTCATTCAAGGGTTTTTCTTTATTTTTACTATTTTCTACATTGTAGAATAATAGTGAAGACATCAAAACTATGAAATAACACATATGGAATCATATAGTAACCAAAAAAGTGTTAAACAAATCAAAATATATTTTATATTTGAGATTCTTCAAATAGCCATCCTTTGCCTTGATGACAGCTTTGCACACTCTTGGCATTCTCTCAATCAGCTTCATGAGGTAGTCACCTGGAATGCATTTCAATTAACAGGTGTGCCTTGTTAAAAGTTAATTTGTGGAATTTCTTTCCTTCTTAATGCGTTTGAGCCAATCAGTTGTGTTGTGACAAGGTAGGGGGGTATACAGAAGATAGCCATATTTGGTAAAAGACCAAGTCCATAATGGCAAGAACAGCTCAAATAAACAAAGAGAAACAACAGTCCATTACTTTAAGACATGAAGGTAAGTCAATATGGAACATTCCAAGCACTTTGAAAGTTTTTTCAAGTGCAGTTGCAAACCATCAAGCGCTATGATTAAACTGGCTCTCATGAGGACTGCCACAGGAATGGAAGACCCAGAGTTACCTCTGCTGCAGAGGATAAGTTCATTAGAGTTACCAGCCTCAGAAATTGCAGGCCAAATAAATACTTCAGAGTTCAAGTCACAGACACATCTCAACATCAACTGTTCAAAGGGGACTGTGTGAATCAGGCCTTCATGGTTGAATTGCTGCAAAGAAACCACTACTAAAGGACATCAATAAGAAGAAGAGACCTGCTTGGGCCAAGAAACACGAGCAATGGACATTAGACCGGTGGAAATGTGTCCTTTGGTCTGGAGTCCAAATTGGACATTTCTGGTTTCAACCGCCGTGTCTTTGTGAGACGCGGTGTGGGTGAACGGATGATCTCCGCATGTGTAGTTCCCACCGTAAAGCATGTAGAAGGTGGTGTTATAGTGTGGGGGTGCTTTGCTGGTGACACTGTCTGTGATTTATTTAGACTTTAAATTCTGCAGCGATACGCCATCCCATCTGGTTTGGGCTTAGTGGGACTATCATTTGTTTTTCAACAGGACAATGACCCAACACACCTCCAGGCTGTGTAAGGGCTATTTGACCAAGAAGGAGAGTGATGGAGTGCTGCATCAGATGACCTGGCCTCCACAATCCCCCGACCTCAACCCAATTGGGTTTCTTTGGGATGAGTCGGACCGCAGAGTGAACAAGTGCTCAGCATTTGTGGGAACTCCTTCAAGACTGTTGGAAAAGCATTCCAGGTGAAGCTGGTTGAGAGAATGCCAAGAGTGTGCAAAGCTGTCATCAAGGCAAAGTGTGGCTATTTGAAGAATCTCAAATATAAAATATTTTGATTTGTTTAACACTTTTTTGGTTACTATATGATTCCATATGTGTTATTTCATAGTTTTGAGGTCTTCACTATTATTCTACAATGTAGAAAATAGTAAAAATAAAGAAAAACCCTTGAATGAGTAGGTGTGTCCAAACTTTTGACTGGTACTGTATGTTATGGAACCTAGCAGGAGTGAAACTTTGGCGCAACTCCATACGATTCAAGAGATTACATGTTACCCCAGGAAACCAATTGCAGGCGGTAACTGTAGATAACTAGGTAGCTTTATTCACGTCAGGGGAATTTTGCTGAGTGCGGTGCAACTCCATCCGGTTCAAGGTTGCTGCATTCACATCAGGGGAACATAGCTGGGGTGAAACTTAGTTGCAGCTCCATACGATATGATATGTGGCTCTGTTCACGCCAGGGAAACTGAGTAGGAGTTAACGTCGGTGAAACTCAACATTATTATTGCATTTCCATTTCCGTTTTCTTGTGTTGCACTTGCATTCAGTAGCATCCATGAATCACATGATTATGTATGATTAGTATTGACTTTAAAAGGAAGAACCAAGGACACAGATGATTCCTGATATTGTGAGATTCTCTCTGGTGTTTACAGAACAGCTGGTGCTAAGAGATTAGGATGTCAGGACCTGCTTAGGACAAAGCAATTGTAACAGGAGCAAAGGATCGCAATAAGGGAAATGAATGGCTGCAGTATTGACATTATAATGAATGCATGATGCATGGAAAACTAAGTCATAAATGTATCAAAGCATGTATTCTTATTCTAAATGTATGTAGTTCTGTCCTTGCGCTGTACTTGTCCATTAATGTTATGTATTATGTCATGTTTTATGTTTTGTGTGGACCCCAGGAAGAGCAGTTGCTGCTTTAGCAGTAGCTAGTGGGAATCCTAATGAAATACAAAATCCTAAAACGTCCCCCAAAAATAGTCTAGCAAACAAACTCACCCAGGATCTGCACTTCAATGTGTCTGGGTCTCTCAAGATACTTCTCCACGAACAAAGCACCGTTCCCAAACGCAGCCAGGGCCTCGGAGTACGCGCGCTGATAGTTCTCCTCCAGCTCCTACACACGTCGACCAATGGGGATCAACAAGTCAACCACCACAAAGACAAAACACTCAGATTGGAGCCCCGATTTACTCCCAGATAGCTCTACTCACCTCATACTCTTTGACCACCCTCATACCCCTGCCCCCACCGCCATAGGCAGCCTTGAAGATGATGGGAAAGCCATAGGTTTTGGAAAACTCCTGGGCCTCCGATAGGCAAGTGATGGGGCCGTCTGTCCCTGGTACCACTGGGACTCCTGGAAGCAAAATCAAACAATATGAAGTTAGCTGAACGTAACTCAACTTTTACTTAACCGTACGCAATGTCAGCTATACGTCAGCTATGATTCTGCTGAAAAAAGACAAAAGTAAAACCTAAAACTCTGATGAAACAAACATCCATCAGACAGGACTGAGAATGACAGCTGGTGTCCAACCTACCTGCACGGACAGCGATGGATCGAGCCTCCACCTTGTCTCCCATCTTGCGCACCACTTCAGGGGAAGGGCCAATGAAGCGTACCCCAGCATCGGCACACGCCTGGGCAAAGTCTGATCTCTCAGACAGGAAGCCGTACCCAGGGTGGATGGCATCCACATTATTCTCCTGAGAATAAAATATATGATACGAAAAAGATGTAAGACAGTGTAAAGGTGTGATCTTAAAATGCAGTAAGAATTGGTTCAGAAAAGTTTGAAAGACACATATTCATGTCGCAGACCTTAGCCACTTTGATGATGTCAGGGATGTCCAGGTAGGCAGCCACGGGCGGCAGGCCCTTCCCTATGAGGTAAGCCTCATCTGCCTTCTGCCTGTGCATCTGGCCTGTGTCCTGTTCAGAGTAGACAGCCACCGTCCGGATCCCCAGCTCAGTGCAGGCCCGGAACACACGGATAGCAATCTCACCTACAAGTGGTTGGATTAGTCAGCAGTAATCATGCACTCAGGAAAATTCAATTATGTGGTGAGACGAAACTAGCTATAACACATTGGCTGACATTTCGGTGTCTACAGAATGGCCAGGGTGGGAGAATGGTTACTCTACCTCTATTGGCCACCATGACCTTTTTGATGGCCTTGTATTCCAGAGTCTGAGGGGAGTTGTGGGTGGAGCGGGACAGGCAGCAAGCCCTCCTGACAGCCAGCAGCCCCAGGGCTGAACGCATGCCTCCAACCTGCAGCAGCATCTACACAGGTCAAGGACAGGAAGGGGGGGGGGCAAGAATAGGAAAGAATGAGTAAAATGCAACACAGGTCCTGACCTATACAGTGAGGAAAAAATGTATTTGATCCCCTGCTGATTTTGTACGTTTGCCCACTGACAAAGAAATGATCAGTCTATAATTTTAATGGTAGGTTTATTTGAACAGTGAGAGACCGAATAACAACAAAAAAATCCAGAAAATCGCATGTCAAAAATTTTATAAATTGATTTGCATTTTAAATTAGGGAAATAAGTATTTGACCCCCTCTCAATCAGAAAGATTTCTGGCTCCCAGGTGTCTTTTATACAGGTAACGAGCTGAGATTAGGAGCACACTCTTAAAGGGAGTGCTCCTAATCTCAGTTTGTTACCTGTATAAAAGACACCTGTCCACAGAAGCAATCAATCAGATTCCAAACTCTCCACCATGGCCAAGACCAAAGAGCTCTCCAAGGATGTCAGGAAAAAGATCGTAGACCTACACAAGGCTGGAATGGGCTACAAGACCATCGCCAAGCAGCTTGGTGAGAAGGTGACAACAGTTGGTGCAATTATTCGCAAATGGAAGAAACACAAAATAACTGTCAATCTCCCTCGGCCTGGGGCTCCATGCAAGATCTCACCTCGTGGAGTTGCAATGATCATGAGAACGGTGAGGAATCAGCCCAGAACTACACGGGAGGATCTTGTCAATGATCTCAAGGCAGCTGGGACCATAGTCAACAAGAAAACAATTGGTAACACACTACACCGTGAAGGACTGAAATCCTGCAGCGCCCGCAAGGTCCCCCTGCTCAAGAAAGCACATATACATGCCCGTCTGAAGTTTGCCAATGAACATCTGAATGATTCAGAGGAGAACTGGGTGAAAGTGTTGTGGTCAGATGAGACCAAAATGGAGCTCTTTGGCATCAACTCAACTCGCCGTGTTTGGAGGAGGAGGATTGCTGCCTATGACCCCAAGAACACCATCCCCACCGTCAAACATGGAGGTGGAAACATTATGCTTTGGGGGTGTTTTTCTGCTAAGGGGACAGGACAACTTCACCGCATCAAAGGGACGATGGACGGGGCCATGTACTGTCAAATCTTGGGTGAGAACCTCCTTCCCTCAGCCAGGGCATTGAAAATGGGTTGTGGATGGGTATTCCAGCATGACAATGACCCAAAACACACAGCCAAGGCAACAAAGGAGTGGCTCAAGAAGAAGCACATCAAGGTCCTGGAGTGGCCTAGCCAGTCTCCAGACCTTAATCCCATAGAAAATCTGTGGAGGGAGCTGAAGGTTCGAGTTGCCAAACGTCAGCCTCGAAACCTTAATGACTTGGAGAAGATCTGCAAAGAGGAGTGGGACAAAATCCCTCCTGAGATGTGTGCAAACCTAGTGTCACTACGCTCCTCCGTACACTCCACTGGCTTCCAGTTGAAGCTCGCATCTGCTACAAGACCATGGTGCTTGCCTACGGAGCTGTGAGGGGAACGGCACCTCCTTACCTTCAGGCTCTGATCAGTCCCTACACCCAAACGAGGGCATTGTGTTCTTCCACCTCTGGCCTGCTGGTCCCCCTACCTCTGCGGAAGCACAGTTCCCGCTCAGCCCAGTCAAAACTGTTCGCTGCTCTGGCCCAATGGTGGAACAAGCTCCCTCACGACGCCAGGACAGCAGAGTCACTGACCACCTTCCGGAGACACTTGAAACCCTACCTCTTTAAGGAATACCTGGGATAGTATAAAAGTAATCCTTCTACCCCCCCAAATATATATATATATATATATATATATATATATAAAAACTAATGAAAATTTAAAATGTATTTGTAAGTCGCTCTGGATAAGAGCGTCTGCTAAATTACGTAAATGTAAATGTAATGTAAATGTAACTACAAGAAACGTCTGACCTCTGTGATTGCCAACAAGGGTTTTGCCACCAAGTACTAAGTCATGTTTTGCAGAGGGGTCAAATACTTATTTCCCTCATTAAAATACAAATCAATTTATAACATTTTTGACATGCATTTTTCTGGATTATTTTGTTGTTATTCTGTCTCTCGCTGTTCAAATAAACCTACCATTAAAATTATAGACTGATCATGTCTTTGTCAGTGGGCAAACGTACAAAATCAGCAGGGGATCAAATACTTTTTCCCCCCTCACTGTATACAGTAGTACGTAGTCTGACTTAAAAGACGGTAAAAATGTAAACCTTGTCAAGAAGGAGATCGCCTATAGCTGTAAAGCAGACGAAAGTTGCCATAAGATGCAGACAGCTATAATCTCTCATGATTAGATAGGCCTAACACCTTCTTTTGCTTTACATCGGAAAGAATTTGGGAATACCAGACGCCTGACTAAACTGTAGAAATGTCCATTTACAGTGGGGAAAAAAACTATTTAGTCAGCCACCAATTGTGCATGTTCTCCCACTTAAAAAGATGAGAGAGGCCTGTAATTTTCATCATAGGTACACGTCAACTATGACAGACAAAATGAGAGAAAAAAATTCCAGAAAATCACATTGTAGGATTTGTAATGAATTTATTTGCAAATTATGGTGGAAAATAAGTATTTGGTCAATAACAAAAGTTTCTCAATACTTTGTTATATACCCTTTGTTGGCAATGACACAGGTCAAACGTTTTCTGTAAGTCTTCACAAGGTTTTCACACACTGTTGCTGGTATTTTGGCCCATTCCTCCATGCAGATCTCCTCTAGAGCAGTGATGTTTTGGGGCTGTCGCTGGGCAACACAGCATTTCAACTCCCTCCAAAGATTTATGGGGTTGAGATCTGGAGACTGGCTAGGCCACTCCAGGACCATGAAATGCTTCTTACGAAGCCACTCCTTCATTGCCCGGGCGGTGTGTTTGGGATCATTGTCATGCTGAAAGACCCAGCCACGTTTCATCTTCAATGCCCTTGCTGATGGAAGGAGGTTTTCACTCAAAATCTCACGATACATGGCCCCATTCATTCTTTCCTTTACACGGATCAGTCGTCCTGGTCCCTTTGCAGAAAAACAGCCCCAAAGCATGATGTTTCCACCCCCATGCTTCACAGTAGGTATAGTGTTCTTTGGATGCAACTCAGCATTCTTTGTCCTCCAAACACGACGAGTTGAGTATTTACCAAAAAGTTCTATTTTGGTTTCATCTCACGATATGACATTCTCCCAATCCTCTTCTGGATCATCCAAATGCACTCTAGCAATCTTCAGACGGGCCTGGACATGTACTGGCTTAAGCAGGGGGACACGTCTGGCACTGCAGGATTTGAGTCCCTGGCGGCGTAGTGTGTTACTGATGGTAGGCTTTGTTACTTTGGTCCGAGCTCTCTGCAGGTCATTCACAAGGTCCCCCCCATGTGGTTCTGGGATTTTTGCTCACCGTTCTTGTGATCATTTTGACCCCACAGGGTGAGATCTTGCATGGAGCCCCAGATCGAGGGAGATTATCAGTGGTCTTGTATGTCTTCCATTTCCTAATAATTGCTCCCACAGTTGATTTCTTCAAACCAAGCTGCTTACCTATTGCAGATTCAGTCTTCCCAGCCTGGTGCAGGTCTACAATTTTGTTTCTGGTGTCCTTTGACAGCTCTTTGGTCTTGGCCATAGTGGAGTTTGGAGTGTGACTGTCTGAGGTTGTGGACAGGTGTCTTTTATACTGATAACAAGTTCAAACAGGTGCCATTAATAAAGGTAACGAGTGGAGGACAGAGGAGCCTCTTAAAGAAGAAGTCACAGGTCTGTGAGAGCCAGAAATCTTGCTTGTTTGTAGGTGACCAAATACTTATTTTCCACCATAATTTGCAAATAAATTCATAAAAAATCCTACAATTTGATTTTCTGGATTTTCTTTCCTCAATTTGTCTGTCATAGTTCACGTGTACCTATGATGAAAATTACAGGCCTCTCTCATCTTTTTAAGTGGGAGAACATGCACAATTGGTGGCTGACTAAATACTTTTTTTCCCCACTGTACATATCAATGGCATCGGTAAAGTACAATGATTAAAAATATCTGCACAAAACACCAAATTACAGAATTGCCTTGGAAGGAGTGCAAGTAACAGAGGAAGGAGAGTGGTGGGGAGTGGACAGAGACATTAGCCTCCATCTATTACACTGACCACAGACCTCTGGAGAGGAGTAGAAATGTCAAACATTCCCATTATTCAGAGGAAGACTGCAATAGCCGGAGAAAATTGGCCTAAGAAATTGGTTAGCCTGTAGTTAGAGAAGCTCAATTTGGCAATACTTGAATCCTTAAGAAAAAGGCCAAGGGGAAGTGAACAGGTTTGAACTTTGAATGTCCAACTGCCGTTGTTAACCCACCACCCTAGCACACAAATCAATCATAACCCTTCGGAGTATCCAAAAACTGTGTTGGCCTGTTGTTGTGACCATCATGAGAGAGTGGTCCACTGATACAGAAGCGGCATTGGTCTTTGTTATGCTAGAGCTACTAGAGTTCAGACTACATGGTCCGACCAGCAGTTCTACAGATCAAGTTCAAGGATATACCAAATCTGCATAAGTATTCACATGAACAGGCCAACTGATCAACACTAAGAGGTTGATAAGGGTCTATACACCAGGGCCCGGTTACTCATTAGAACTTTCGTAGGAGCATCGTTAAATCGCTGAGCTGTTTCCCAAACTCATCAATATTAACTACTCATAACAGCTAAGTGTGTCAGATACTTTTTTGCCCACCCCCATCACTTTATACACAGAAGATCTCCGCTAAACATAGAATCACATGGTTTATCCGTCTCTGTGACTGCCGATTACTTCTGAACAAAGTTGACTACAAATACAAAAGTTGCCAATGTCTTTGCAATTGATACAAGCAACATATACAAATATGCTTCAAATGAAAACCGAGATGACTGCATTCAAATATAAACCGTAGGCTATAGGCCTATTTCAATAATATCGTAAGTTATATTTCATGTTCAATCAATTGAGTTCCATTTTGCTACTTGTAGGAAACTGTCTGTAATTTGTCTCAATATACTTTATTTAATGATGTGTAGCCTAAAACGTGTGCAATGATGTGCCAAATCGGGGATTTAGTGAATTTTCATTGGGTAAGCATTATAGACTGCACAAAAATAAAACGCAACATGCAACAATTTCAAAGTTGCAGTTCATATAAGGAAATCAGTCAACTTAAACTTAAATCAATTCATTAGGCTCTAAACTATGGATTTCACATGACTGGGAATACAGATATGCATCTGTTGGTCACAGATACCTTAAAAAACAACAACAAAAAAGTAGGGGCGTGGATCAGAAAACCAGTTAGTATCTGGTGTGACCACCATTTACCTCATGCAGTGCGACATCTCCTTCGCATAGCGTTGATCAAGCAGTTGATTGTGGCCTTTGGAATGTTCTCCCACTCCTCTTTAATGGCTGTGTCAAGTTGCTGGATATTAGCGGGAACACGCTTTCATACACGTTGATCCAGAGCATACCAAACATAATCAATGGGTGAGATGTCTGGTGACTACGCAGGCCATGGAACTGGGACATTTTCAGCTTCCAGGAATTGTGTACAGATCCTTGCGACATGGGGCTGTGCATTATCATGCTGAAACATGAGGTGAAACATGAGGTGATGGCGGCGGATGAATGGCACGACAATGGGCCTCAGGATCTCGTCATGGCATTCAAATTGCCATCGATAAAACGCAATCGTGTTTGTTGTCCGTAGCTTATGCCTGCCCATACCATAACCCCACCACCACCATGGGGCACTCTGTTCACAACGTTGACATCAGCAAACCGCTCACCCACACGACGCCATACACGCTGTCTGCCATCTGCCCGGTACAGTTGAAACCATCATTCATCTGTGAAGAGCACACTTCTCCAGCGTGCCAGTGGCCATCGAAGGTGAGCATTTGCCCACTGAAGTCGGTTACGACGCCAAATTGCAGTCAGTTCAAGACCCTGGTGAAGACGACGAGCACACAGATGAGCTTCCCTGAGACGGTTACTGACAGTTTCTGCAGATATTCTTTGGTTATGCAAACCCACAGTTTCATCAGCTGTCCGGGTGGCTGGCCTCAGATGATCCCGCAGATGAAGAAGCCGGATGTGGGGGTCCTGAGCTGGCGTGGTCTGTGGCCAAATTCTCTAAAATGGCTTAAATTATCTGGCAACAGCTCTGATGGACATTCCTGCAGTTAGCATGCCAATTGCACACTCCTTCAAAACGTGAGACATCTGTGGCATTGTGTTGTGTGACATAACTGCACATTTTAGAGTGGCCTTATTGTCCCCAGCACAAGGTGCACCTGTGTAATGATCATGCTGTTTAATCAGCTTCATGATATGCCACACCTGTCAAATGGATGGATTGTCTTGGCAAAGGAGAAATGCTCACTAACAGGGATGTAAACACATTTTGTGCGTATGGAAAATGTCTGGGTTCTTTCGTTTCAGCTCATGAAACATGAGACTAACACTTTACATGTTGCGTTTATATTTTTGTTCAGTATAATAAGCCACCTCAATATTTGCAGCCGTAGGTGGTAATCTCTCTCTAGGAGCTGATCCGTCGTCGGTATTGTGAAGTAATTCTTATGTTAAGCGGTAGGATTTGAATGGAGAAAGCTGATCTGAGAGCAGCGCTCCCTTTCTTTCGATCCTATCAGTATCGATATGCTCCAACAACGCACTTAGTGACCGTTCTCTCAGCGTGGTGTTTTGGGAAACACATGTTACATCTTCAGCAATTGTTAGAAAGATGCATTGTTAAAAACACTCGTAAGCCTAAATTCCATCGCTATCGGGAAACCGGGCCCTGGACCATAACAGTCCATCCAAACACCAAATGCTAGGCCTAAACAGCAATTGCACATACACTGAATGTTTCACCAGGAGCAAGAGATTGTCATTGATCAGTCATATCAAGCTCAGCACTTGTGATTCTAAATAAAGGACATCAAATGAAAAAGTCTTTATAAAGGAATTTCACCATAGTTGTACATGCACTGTATGCTCCTGTTGTCCTAGGGTCAAAATGACCCGCCACTGTGTTGAACCAACTTTATTTAATTTTTATATTTTGGGGATCATTTGTGAGAAGGAGGCAGTGAGACTTTAAAGAAAGTATCACTGCCTCCTTCTCACAAATGATCCAAAAAATATAAAAATTAAATAAAGTTGGTTCAACACAGTGGCGGGTCATTTTGACCCTAGGACAACGGGAGGGTTAAACGAAACACACTTGTCCAAAACCAAACAAAATATTGCACAAGTGGACACAGGTTCAAAAACACAAGGGCAGTTGGCAGAAGTGCTCTTTTCATAAATAGGCTATTTGTTTTGCCTGGCTGATAAATGTTATAATGTATTATGAAATTCACAAGTCACTGTCATTTTGGCATTAGAATACAACCAAACCATTGATTAAGCAATCCCTAACCATTTTAACCCTACCATAGCCTAGTACATTACACCAAATGATGCCCGTTTATTCCGAACATCCTCAATAAAAGGCAGGTAGAGAAACCCAAGACTTAACTTCAAGATAAAGCAAGAGGAAAGAGCAGAGGGATAGCGGTAAGCACAGGGCACTACAAACAATTAGGCTAGTCTGTTGCTGAATGAATGGAAGTGGGCCAAATGAAAGACTATATTCTTGATGACATTCCTCTTGTCCAATCAGTTGTGCTACATGGTTAAGGGCAGCTTATTGTAATGCAGCCTGGCACATTGTTGCCTCCAACTGTAATTTGACCTGTCAACCACTTCTGCCCAGTTTTCTCCCTACAAGAATAGGCTGCAAATGTATTTCAATGGGTTCTGGAGTCAAGTGACAGGGTGTGTTTGCTTTATGGCTTAACGAGGGCTCTGGAGAGAAGGTCTGGCACCAAGGAGAACCCGTCAGCAGACTGACCTTGTTGAACAGTCTCTCCATTCTCACCTACAGTGTCTTCTTTCCAGACGAAGTTGACTCACCAATGAGTTATTAATACTACACAGAGAGAACTTAAGGTTGGTTTGTCAAACCCAATGAAAGTTCTTTGATGTGTAGTATTACCTCATTGGGAGTCAAAGTTTTGGTGATAAACCTACCGCATGCATTCAATAGAATGAGTTGGTGTTTGTGTAATGTAAGGTACAGGGAGAGATGGCTCGGATATGGATAATGATGAGAGGAACCTTGTCTTGGGGGCCAAACCCTGGTTTCCATACAATGAGAACAGTCTTCACTGCAGATACTGTCTGCTGTGAATTATTCATTTCTTTCATACAAATCCTAACCTTTTGACCCATTCCACACATCTGCTGTTTGTCATGTAGACAGAGGGTGTATCTTTGCTATAAAATATATTTGTATTGTCTGTATGTCAGAGTTCTCGGCCAAACACTTGAGTGTTGGGTCGACCAGCCTCACTTACTACCTTATTAATACGTTTTGAATAAAGTAATATCCGGATTGGTGATTGACCTTGTCTCTCCTCATTATTGATTAGAATTTCCACGACATAGGTGAGAATGGAGAGATAGATCAACAAGGTCAGTCTGCTGACAGCTATGAAATGGGCCACAACAGGCAGAACAGGGTGGTTTACATTTTCAATCAAATGTGCCTACATTAATCTCTGTGCTGGTCTTCTCCACTCCACAAAATAACAGAAATACCAGAGTGGTGAGTCAACAGGGCTGAACATGTTTGGGCAATGGTCTAAAAACCAGATGATTTAACATGCAAAGAAACACCAACCCAGTTCAACAAACTGATGTTGCATCCATTACAAGGCTACAACTAGGCCTATAGCCAACTAACAAAACAACTAAGTTTCAGCCTGTTCATTTTTAGCTTCACAAAAGTTGTTTTATTACATCGAGACTAGGCTAAATCCTAAACATTCTGGAATGCACTACCAGAGAGATACTTTTGTTGAAAGCACTGATTGTAATCAGAGTGCAAGTGTAGCAAGACAAGGTTGTTGGCTAAACCCCCCCCCCCCCTCTCTCATGCAGGTCTAAACATACAGGTCTGGAAGCACTGTTGAAGAAACACAAAGCCTCAACTTTATCAACTCATCTGGAACAGATTCATCCAGATCCGACATGCTCGACAATCACTCAACACCTTCATTCGACAACTTTTTTTTCCTTCTTCTGGAAACATGGCGAGTTATTTAAATGACAATTGTAGTACAATGAGTTCATGTTGTATTATTATTATTATTATTATTATTAGACTACCATTAAACAGTGAATGACCTCTGACCTACTGAGAAGAGTCCTGCGGGAAGCCTACCTTTGACAAGATATCTGAACAGGTTTCAGCAACAAACATTATTCCTGCTCAATTAACAGATACTATCTAGTAGAAGACTATTTCAAACCTCAAAAAGTGATCTAAACTTGAGTGCATATTGTATAGATCCAGCTATATGAAATAGGCCTCAATTCCCAATGATTGGAAAAATCTCAATTAGATGAAAAACATTGATTAAGTTTGATTCCCGCTGACCTTTAAGACAGTACATGCAAATACACTGCAGGGGGAAAACCAACATAGGCTGTGTAAAGATTCCCATATTTGAACCTAGTCTCTTTCCCAGCCATGTGTTCAGTATCGCTGTAAGCCTTGCAAGAGTAACTTGAACCAAGGCCTAAATGCAATTCGTAACCATGACATTCAAAAATCAAGTCTAGCAATGTTGCAGACTGAAAATGTAGGGCCAGCAGTTGGTTGGTAAGAGGTGAAAAAAAGTAGAAACCATTAGAAAATATCACAATAGATGGTTGGGATACTAATGCACAATTTAGGCTACTATGGCAGTGTTCTTCAGACCCAAGCCAATGGTCTGGTCTGCACTTTTGACTGTCCTGGGCCCGGTTTCCCTAAAGCATCTCAAGGCTAAGTTAACCGTTAGAACCTTCGTAGGAGCATCTTTAAATCTCTGAGCGGTTTCCCAAAACCATTGTTATTAACGTTGCACTTAAAACAAACTCGTAATATAACGCCTGCCTCAGACCACTCGTAGAACAGCCAAGTGTGTCGTTAGATGCTTTTTTGCCCTCCCGCGTCACTTTATATACAGAACATCTCCACTAAACATGGATAAACAATGAGATTCTGTCTCTGTGACTGCCGATAACTTCAGAACAAAGTTGACTACAAATACAAAGTTGCCAATGTCTTTGCAATTGATACAAATCAAATTTTATTTGCCACATGCGCCGAATACAACAGGTGTAGACATTACAGTGAAATGCTTACTTACAAGCCCTTAACCAACAATGCAGTTTTAAGAAAAACAGGTGTTAAGTAAAAAATAGATAAGTAAAAAATTAAAGTAACAAAAAATTTAAGAGCAGCAGTAAAATAAAATAACAGTAGGGAGGCTATATACAGGGGGTACCGGTACAGAGTCAATGTGTGGGGGCACGCAAAGTTTAAAAAGATGATTCAAATTAAAGCCGAGATGACTGCATTAAAATAAACGTTTCGATATAGGCCTATTTCAATCATATTGAAATACATTTCATGTTCAATCAGTTGAGTTCTATTTTGCGGCTTGTATTTGTCTCAATATATTTAATGATGTGTTGCCTAACATGTGAGCAATGATGTGCCAAATCAGGGATTTTGTGCATTTTTATTGGGTAAGCATTAGAATAAGCCACCTCAATATTTGCAGTCGTAGGTGGTAATATCTAAGAGCTGTTATTGTGAAATAATTATAATATTAAAACTTGAATGGAGAAAGCTGATCTGAGAGCAGCGCTCCCGGTCTTTCGATCCCATCAGTATCGACACATGCTCCAAAGACGCACTTATCGACCGTTCTTTCTGCGTGGTGTTTTTAGGAAACCTATGTTACATCTTTGGCTGTTGTAGGAAAGTTCCAGCGCTATCGGGAAACCGGGCCCTGGACACTATTTGTCCACAGGAAAGTGACTGAAGAACACTGCTAGGCCTATATGAGAATGAGTCAACAGGAGTCTTCTACTAGCTTCAATATCCACAAAGTCAGATTCCACAGCCACAAAGTCAAAATTGGCTACAAAAATTATGTTTTTGGTCTTAATTTAAAGTTAGGCATAAGGTTAGCAGTGTGGTTAAGTTTTGGGTTAAAATCACATTTCAAGAAGATAAATTGTAAAAATTGGTGGGGTTTATGACTTTCAGGGAATAGAAGCTGACGACCAAGCTCATTCATAGACGCTACCTTTAGCGTCTATTCATTAAGGTATTTTCTGGCCAGATGAGTTTTGTTAAGAGCCCCGACGCTCTGTCTTAACATTAACACACGTCGCTTGCGGTACCATTTTGGAAACATAAAGGAACGTATATTTCATGTTTACGGAAGACAGTAGTGACCACCTGTGCTAATTAGTGATCTAGCGTGCTTGAAGACCTGTGCATAAGCGTACCTGGGGAGGAAGTGTAGTTCTTCGGCTGGAGGCACACAGCTGTACGGACCTGTGCAAACCTGCTACAATAAGTATCCTTTTTATTTGAAAGATTCTTTCCTCGCTGATATGCAAGATAGGTTATATAGGTTTCAAAAACCGTAATCGCACGCGATGATTGACGTTTCTAAGCGTTAAAACAGTGCGTTGGGCTTGTAGTTCACATGGTCCCACTGGTAAGCGGTGCTTATAGCTGAGAACCCTTGGGATAAGGGAGAATGCCTTGTTAAAGTGACACTCCAATCTCCTTTTCACCTCATTCAACACCCAATTTACTTGACAAAAAGGCACATCACAATAGGTGGTCCGGGTATGTAATGACTAGCACAAAAGGGAGTGGGCCTTCCCTCTTTTGTTCTCTATTGTTCCTCAAGCAAGGGGGGAGGCCGATGACATTTTTACATTTACATTTTAGTCATTTAGCAGACGCTCTTATCCAGAGCGACTTACAGTTAGTGAATACTTCCAGTCCTTCCAGTTCTCTGCTGCCAATGACTGGAACGAATTGCAAAAATCTCTGAAGCTGGAGACTCTTATCTCCCTCACTAACTTTAAGCATCAGTTGTCAGAGCACCTTACCGATCACTGCACATGTACACAGCCCATCTGAAATTAGCCCACCCAACTACCTCATCCCTATATTGTTATTTATTTTGCTCTTTTGCACCCCAGTATCTCTATTTGCACATAATCTCTTGCACATCTAGCATTCCAATGTTAATACTAATTGTAATTATTTTGCACTATAGCCTATTTATTGCCTTACCTCCATAACTTGCTACATTTGCACACACTGTATATATATTTTCTGTTGTATTTTATGACCTTATGTTTTTTTTACCCCATATGTAACTCTGTGTTGTTGTTTTTAATCGCACTGCTTTGCTTTATCTTGGCCAGGTCACAGTTTAAATGAGAACTTGTTCTCAACTGGCTTACCTGGTTAAATAAAGGTGAAATAAAATAAAAATAAAATACATATTTTTTTCATACTGGTCCCCCGTGGGAATTGAACCCACAACCCTGGCGTTGCAAACGCCATGCTCTATCAACTGAGCTACATCCCTGCCGGCCATTCCCTCCCCTACCCTGGACAACGCTAGGCCAATTGTGCGCTGCCCATGAAAACCAACTCCTTGAAGTTTGCAGTTGTCTACAAAAAAAACACTACTTTGGTCAAAACATTTGTTTACCCTTTATTGTGTACAGTGCATTCGGAAAGTATTCAGACCCCTTCACTTCTTCCACATTTTGTTATGTTACACCCTTATTCTAAAATGGATTGAATCGTTTTTTCCCCCTCATCAATCTACACCTAGTACCCCATAATGACAAAGCAAAAACAGGGTTTTAGAATTTGCCAAAGTATTACAAATTAAATAACATTTACATAAGTACTCAGACCCTTTACTCAGTACTTTGTTGAAGCAACTTTGGCAACGATTACAGCCTCGAGTATGACGCTACAAGCTTGGCACACCT